GTTTGATTACAATACCTCATTCGAAACTCTAGTAAACGTCTGGAAACCATGATGTGGACCAACCTACGGACCAACTGACCGACCGACAAGCTGACTCCTATATCCCCCCTAAACTTCATTTGTGGGGGTATAATGATTTAACCAATACCAGAAGATTACCATATCATATAAAAACACTTAAGAAAAGCTAAACAAAATAAAATAAGAACTAAATAATGCTATCAACCATATATACTTCTCTTCTGATTAACCAGGGATGCATACAATGTATTCTGAACGTTCCTCAGATATAACTTCCATTATTATATCAATTAAACAAAATGAAAAAACAAGAGCTGTCGGTAGGACAGCAACGCTCGACTATTCTTAGTGCTTGATAGTAAAAAAAATGCTTGATACAGTTACCTCCTCCTGTTTACAGGTTGGGGTCATGATGGTGAACAAGTGTGCAAAGTTTCAAAGCCATATGTCAATGGACTTTGAAAATATTTGAACTATTACAAAAACTTTAACGTAAATTCTAAGTCGAAAAAGGGGCATAATTCTGTCAAAATGCTTGATAGAGTTACCTCCTCCTGTTTACAGGTTGGGGTCAAGATGTTGAACAAGTGTGCAAAGTTTCAAAGCCATATGTTAATGGACTTTGAAAATATTTGAACTATTACAAAAACTTTAACGTAAATTCTAAGTCGAAAAAGGGGCATAATTCTGTCAAAATGCTTGATAGAGTTACCTCCTCCTGTTTACAGGTTGGAGTCATGATGTTGAACAAGTGTGCAAAGTTTCAAAGCCATATGTCAATGGACTAAAAACTACAAATCACAGCCTTACAATTATATTATATGTGCTTAGATGATAAAAACAAAGAGCAACCAAACAAGAGGTGTCGGTAGGACAGCAACGCTCGACTATTCTAGTGCTTGATAGTAAAAATAATGCTTGATACAGTTACCTACTCCTGTTTACAGGTTGGGGTCATGATGGTGAACAAGTGTGCAAAGTTTCAAAGCCATATGTCAATGGACTTTGAAAATATTTGAACTATTACAAAAACTTTAACGTAAGTGGTTACGCCGACGCCGACGCTCGGGTGACTGCAATAGCTCTATTTATTCTTATCGAATAGTCGAGCTAAAAACTACAAATCACAGCCTTACAATTATATTATATGTGCTTAGATGATAAAAACAAAGAGCAACCAAACAAGAGCTGTCGGTAGGACAGCAACGCTCGACTATTCTAGTGCTTGATAGTAAAAATAATGCTTGATACAGTTACCTACTCCTGTTTACAGGTTGGGGTCATGATGGTGAACAAGTGTGCAAAGTTTCAAAGCCATATGTCAATGGACTTTGAAAATATTTGAACTATTACAAAAACTTTAACGTAAATTCTAAGTCGAAAAAGGGGCATATTTCTGTAAAAATGCTTGATACAGTTACCTCCTCCTGTCTACAGGTTGGGGTCATGATGGTGAACAAGTGTGCAAAGTTTCAAAGCCATATGTCAATGGACTTTGAAAATATTTGAGGTATTACAAAAACTTTAACATAAATTCTAAGTTGAAAAAGGGGCATAATTCTGTCAAAATGCTTGATAGAGTTACCTCCTCCTGTCTACAGGTTGGGGTCATGATGGTGAACAAGTGTGCAAAGTTTCAAAGCCATATGTCAATGGACTTTGAAAATATTTGAACTATTACAAAAACTTTAACATAAGTGGTTACGCCGACGCCGACGCTCGGGTGACTACAATAGCTCTACTTATTCTTATCGAATAGTCGAGCTAAAAAGTAATATATCAGATAAAGGTAAACTGTGATGTGAATTATTTCAAATGAACAAAACTTAACCATGTTTGTGTAATGGATTAACCCTCCTTTCAATATGGAACAGTCCATTCGAACTTTATAGGGATTTACAAAATAAAATGAACAAAATACAAAATTTGAGCTGCCAACAGTATAGAGCCTTGTTATATACTGATTGCAAAGCATGACAACTTTTTGTTCTAGCAGGTTTAAGTGTTATATTAAAAGTATAGCATAACACAAATAATTGAGCCGATCCATGCTGTTCGCTATCTGTTTCTCTACTTGTAATAGGGTTTGTAAGCAAACAGCATGGATCCTGATCAGTCTGCGCGGATGCAAACGCACTATTGGTTTTGTCATGGCATGGCACAAACTGTTATTATTTTGATCAGATAGCATTAAAGCACATGCCTCCTCATTCATGCTAATTTTCATTAAAATTTTGAAAATGTATAACAAAGTAAAATATTGTGAAGTGAACATAAGACAGTAACTTACACATTTGGTAACAGCACTTACAATTCATGTAGATTAGCTTAAAAATGTCAAAATATGCAAAAATAGCCCTTTTGGTATAAGTAACACAGTAAAAATATAGTGAAAAATACTGCAAAAATCATTCATTAATTGCCAAAAAAAAAACATATTAATTATTACTTGAATATTGAATCTTTTTACCTTTCTTAAAATCTTAGTACATTTTCCTCAAGTTAGATATTCTTGAAATATGTTTGCTCATCTGGAGGCATGCAGCTGTTGTTTTTAAATACCATTTTTTTTAAAAAGGAATGTTGCTAAAATTCCATTGTAAATTAACAAAACAGAAGAATATTGTCATATCATATGGCATCTTCTGTTTTATCAATCTTGTGAAATTACAAGGTATGAAAACAAAATCATATCAAATGCCATACAGTTATATCCATCATGTCAGATGAACAAAAACAAAATTTTTAGCTCTTTCACACAACATGTTGCTTGCAGCAATGCTGTTGTTTTTATCTATCATATCAAATGAACAAAGGTAAAAGCTCCACTTGCCACTTAAGTCATATCTGAATATCCATCATGTCAAATGAACAAAAGTAAAAGCTCCATTCACTGCTTAAATCATATCTTAATATCCATCATGTCAAATGAACAAAAGTAAAAGCTCCATTCACTGTATAGATCCTATCTTAACAGCCATCATGTCAAATGAACAAAAGTAAAAAATATTCAATCACTGAATCAATCATAAATCAATCATGTCAATTAAAACAAAATGAAATAGTTCATACAGTGTATAAATCATTCTTTAATATATTAAACATCATGTCAAATGAACAAAAGAAAAAAAAACATCAATCACTGAATAAATCATATAACCATTATGTCAAATGAAAAAAATAATCAAAATAATCTTACAACAGATTAAATAAAAAAGCACAGTGTTAAACTTATATAATACTCCTGTCTAAATAACACAACAAAAATTAGGTCACAACAAAAGACATAAATTTATATCTAGGTTAAATCTAGCATGTCAAATGAATAAAATTTAAACAAATAAATATTTGCAACATAAATACCTACATGTATATATCCGTTCTATGAGAAGTTTTATTTCATGTTTGTTTTATTTCATTTTGCTTGATTTAAACTATATAATAAAGTCACACTTACACACCTACTTTTCAGCTTTACTGGTGGAGAAAAGCTTCAAATGCCAAAATTTGTGCATTAATTCAGGCACATGCAAGCACCTGAGTAGATCCACTGATGTCCTGTAGTATAGCTTGCAACTTCCTCACATGGAAGAATTCAATGTCCCAGGCAGGATTGGAACCACAGTGCAGAGCCAAGTGGTTTTAAGTTCAGAATGTGGTACAATTCCAGGTTAATCAATGTCAGAATTAAGAAAAATAATACAATTATGACCTTCATGGCATGTGTGTAGATTCAATTGCTTGCCTTCAGAAGCTAAGATACAATTTTTTGAAACCAAAAGGGGGATAATTCAGTAAAATGGGTGCCAAACTGCCAATATTCTTCAAATAGTCAAGTTAGAATTTGAAATCATTCCAAAGTCATTCTATGTCAAATTAATATAAAATTTAATTTTCCACTCACACCATTAACTAATAAAAATATTCATCATGTCAAATGAGCAAAAGAATAATTTATCTACTAACACCATCAACTAATATAATTTACCCTTTTTTTTCAACTAACTACATCAACCATCATGTCCAATGAACAAAAATTTTAATTTTCCACTAACTAATATAATTTACCCATCATGTCAAATGAACAAAAAAACTATTTTCTCTCCCTACATGGATTCATTATGTCAAATGAACAAAATTAATTTTTTCCACTCACTACATCAACCATTATGTCCAATGAACAAAAATTTAAAATTTACACTAACACCATCAACTAATATAATTTACCCATCATATCAAATGAACAAAAAATCTTTTTTTTTCTACTTTACATTAACCATTATACAATATACATCATGTCCTCCTAACAAAAATTTTCAACAACACCTGAGGGCATAATATAACATCTTTCATTTAAAATTTCAGTTAAACAAGAAAACTTTTAGGGACGCTCGTTTTTAAAAAAAATTTTATATAACACCATATAATTCATGCATACTGGTACAAAAATGAAGACAGTATGTATAAATGTATTTTAATAGATATATTGAGTATAAATTTTGAAAAGCACCAAAATACCGGAATGGAAAAAGATGTAAAATGTTTGAACAATTGATATGAAAATAGCTTTTTGAAGACATTTATGATATTTTACAATGCATTGGTAAAGTATAATTTTACTCCCTATTCAGATTCTATTGAAACCTAGCTATAAATGTATTGAATAAGTTAGTATAAAGGTGTAAATCTAAACAGAATATTATGTTGTTGTAGCTTTCTAAGGTTTTGTATTTTGCTAAGAGCAGTCAGATATTTTATATCTCATGTGAACCAAAGGTCGTGCGAGATATCAATTTCCCCTACTGCAAGTAACAAAATACATGGACTCAGAAAGCTACTACAACATAATTATTCTTTTATTATATAATTGAACATTTTAATTCAAAAAGAAGAAATTAAACTCATGAATGATGGATAAATAAGTAATTTTCTAAAAAAAATACAAAAGAAAAAACATGCCCTAAGTAACCAGTTTCCAAACACTATGTAATGCACAACTAAGATGGAAACCAACAAGAAAAATAGTCCAGCACTTCCATATATGGTTCTGTATTAACATAATACAGGCTTTTCTATCCATTGAATTGTAAAAGCACTACATGATTTGTGTGTATTTTAGGGATAAAATTTATGGGTATAATAATAAATATAGATATTATCCTGAACTCAGCAAATATTGGTTTTCCCTATCAAATTCTGTAAAAACCTATAATGAGTTATAACTTATAGTAAATAATTTGTTATACTAATGATAACCAGTGAAATCAAACCAGGCACATTATCCTAACCATTGCAAGCATTTGAACCTTGTATCAGTAGAACAAAACTGTTCTTCACAACTCACTTTTTGTCAAACATCCAAATGTCAGCAATACAATATCTTTAGCATAGGAATTGTTTTAAATATATCTAAAAATTGGTCCAACTCCTCAAATGTGTTATATACATATTCTATATCTACAGTAAAAATAACACAGAACAGTCTACATATATATGTGTGTAAATAGATAGGCATGTATTCATCAAATTATGTTTGATGCACAGGTAAATCAAAGATGTATGCATAAGTGAACCAAAGATTTATGCATAAAGAGTTATGCTAAGTAAATTAGTTTTATGCATAAAGATTTATGCATAAGTGAATCAAAGTTTTGTGCATAAGATTTACCCATCTGCGATTCAAAGTTTTATGCATAAAGACATATGCATCAGTGAATCAAAGTTTTTGATGCATAAAAATTTACGCATTAGTGAATCAAAGGTTTTTTTTTCATTTATGCATAAACAAATCAAAGTTTTATGCATAAGTATATCTTTAAGACAATGAGCACAGATGGTCTTCAGACAGTTATCCAGAGTTTGGTTATAGTAGCTGCTAAGGCACGCCATCTTTATAAATAAACAGTAAATCCTCATCAGTGCCGTAGCTTTTCCTAGCAACGTCAAACTTGTCCATTCGGCTACAGCAAAGCTCTGTATAAAAATTAACAATACATTTTTCATTGACTGAATTTTTGTAAGCAGTATGCCTAAAGATTTAAGTTTAGTTTGTTTTGTTTTTTAAATATTTATAAACTGTTTGAATAAAGGAATATATAGAGGATATTGAATGAGTGTAGTTTAATACTAAATTTATTGAACGAGTTTAATAAAATCATATTATGCGAGCCTCTGGCGAGCATAATATTGTTTTATTCAACGAGTTCAATAAATTTAGTATTGAATCTACACGAATATAATATTTTATTCATCACATATATGAAATAAGAACAGTAAACTGTTAATATTAGTAATTTTTCAATGACGCGTTTATAGTGTAACGCTAACATTAGCTCGCTTTAACAATATGTTTCTATATGACGCAAATGACGTCAGTCAAAGTGTTATTACACTAGTGTAATATCGTTTTTATTAAATGGCTTTATTACACTCCTGCGCCGCGGTTTATGTGATAAGTACATTTACTTCTGTTAAACACACATGATTTAATTTTTTACCAATAAACAATGATAAAAATAGTTTTGTTGTTCTTACCTTCATCGTATGAGGGATTTTTATAGAAAATTCTTTTCTTCTTTTTATCAAATCCACATACAACAACATAATGACCTGTAATAAATGAATAAATGAACACAATTATCATAGATGCCTTATATTTGATCAATGAATTTCTTTCACAAATTCAAATTCTACCGATAGAATGACCTTGTAGCAGTATTGTAAGGTGGAGTTATGCTGACCAATTGATAGACAAGTTCCTGTTTGATTATCTACATCAATAATTACTGCAGTTTGATTTATAAGTGGAGTGTTTACTTCTATTTTTTTCATTAAAACAAATACGTACCCTGATAGCTCCCACAACATTTACTTGATAAACAAGAAAAGCAGGACGTCTGAAATAAATATTAAGATATAATAGTTATAATTTTTTTGATGGATATCAAATTAACAAAAATAATTCTCAACATGGCTGTGTGGTTTAACATGTCAGACTAGTAATATAATGGTCTTTGGTTGTGTGGGTTCAAACCCTATCAGGGGAAAAGCCATTATTTCTTTGGACAAGAAACATTGCTTTACACTCATTGCTCACAACTGGTTGGTCCCAGGAGAGGATTTGAGAGTGTGTCTATTACTTATATCTTCCTACACCATAGAAATGAACTTAAATTCTGTATGAACTACATTTTCATACAGTATAGCATCTGCAGAGTGGTCCTCTGTATTCTACCATGAGTACCTCACATCTTTATCTGTCACATCATTTAAAAACTGATTACCTCACATCTGAATCTATCACACCATATATAACCATAACTACCTAACATTTTAATCTGTCACACCATATATAACCATGATTACATGAATATGTCAGACCATGTATATAACCATGATTACCTAACATCTTAATCTGTCACACCATATATAACCATGATTACATCACATCTTAATCTGTCACACCATATATAACCATGATTACCTAACATCTTAATCTGTCACACCATATATAACCATGATTACCTTACATCTTAATCTGTCACACCATATATAACCATGATTACCTAACATATTAATCTGTCTCACCATAAATAACCATGATTACCTTAAATCTTAATCTGTCACACCATATATAACCATGATTACCTAACATATTAATCTGTCTCACCATAAATAACCATGATTACCTTAAATCTTAATCTGTCACACCAAATATATTACCCTGATTACATGACATTTTAATCTTTCACACCATATATAAACATGATAACATTACATTTAATCAGTCACACCATATATAACCATGATTACATGACAACTTAATCTATCACACAAGATATAACCATGATTACCTCACATCTTAATCTGTCACACCATATGAAACCATCATGATAACATTCTGTCACACCATATGTAAAACTATGATTACCTGACATTTTAATCTGTCACACCAGATACATTCCAGTTCGTTCCAGTCTACCAGAGCTATACAGAGGTTACCTTTCATAATATGGTCTAGGATTTCATCCCTTGTTACTGACCTGTTAACAATAAAACAGTACCTCGAACAATAAAACAGAACCTTGATTGACAGTAAAATATTTAGTTCTTCTAAAAAACTTACTTACTTATTGGTTAGCAATACATGATTATACATTTAACAGAATACCTAAATATCCCACCATTTTTTCACTGGTTTATGTTTCCTCATTTATCATTCTTGTCATATGTAATTGTACAAGATCATTTGAACTGGTTTAAATGTCATATTACAATTAAATTTTTCATCATTCTTTTGTCATGCGTTACCATTATCAACTAATACATTAGTAGTTCATTACAAATGATTCTACTATCTGCCGACGTTTCCTCTATTTTTGATTATAAATTTTCTTTCTTTTTTGGTTGAGTTTAAAATCGCACCAACATACTAGGTCATATGGCCGCTTTCCAGCTTTACTGGGTGGAGGAAGACTTCAGGAATGGTGCCCTTCCGTGCATTATTTCAGGCATGAACAGGCAACTGAGTAGAACCATCGACCTGCCGTAAGCTAGCTGGATAACTTCCTTTAAATATAGTTTTAAGAGAGAGTATTTTGACTTAGGGGAATAATGATGTAGAATATTTTGACATGGGGGAGGGATTTCATGCTGGATATTTAGATACGAGCGATTCTTGATCAAAAGGCTTTTGAATCTGGAGATTTTGATAATGCAATTCTTGACCAAAAGGCTTTTGAATCTGGGGATTTTGATAATGCCATTCTTGACCAAAAGGCTTTTGAATCTGGGGATTTTGATATGTGCAATTCTTGACTAAAACACTTTTGAATCAGGGGATTTTTAAGTTAGGCTTTTTTTATGTTGGAAAACTTTGACAGAGGAGATTTAGACATGGGGGATATTAACTTAATTAAGTTTTGCCTATTCTATTTACCTTTGTTGAACATCAATGCCATTTGATCCTGACTCCTCAAATAGTTTAGATACCCTCTCCTCATCCACACTAAATTTTCCACTGTAAAATGCCTGAAACATAAAACAAATATATATAAATATACATGTATAATATATATTTTTTCTGTTACAGAAGAATGTTTGTTTGTCTAAGAGCATTTGTTTATAAAGCATTTGTTTATAAACTGGGCTGAAGTCATGGCCATATTGACTTCAAATAACCTGCCCTTTAATGCTGTTATTTAAAATCCTAACAGGGACTTTGCATTCTTCTCCTCAGAAAACTATCTAAATGAAATAGACCTTAAATAAACAAGAGCACCATATGCAATGTTAAAGCTGATCTGTAATAAAAAGGTACATAACTCAAAAAAATATAACTTTCAGGATTTTGCCTCTTGTCTTACAACTGCACCTTGTCATGATAAGCAAGTATTCCAAGTTTCATGTGAGCCGCGCCATGACAAAACCAACATAATGGGTTTGCAACCAGTTATGGATCCAGACCAGCCTGCGCATCCGCGCAGTCTAATCAGGATCCATGCTGTTCGCTTACAAACCCTATAACAAGTAGAGAAACTGATAACGAACGGCATGGATCCTGATCAGATTGCACGGATGCGCAGGCTGGTCTGGATCCCTGCTGGTCGCAAACCCATTAAGTTGGTTTTGTCATGGCTTGGCTCATGTTGATAACTTTTAAGATACTACACTAGAAATTTTGCACAACAGCAACAACTACAATGCAGCGACCATAATATAATAATCCACTTTTTCTTTGAGACAGGCAAACTAAAAATTAGCATCATTTCAAGGACCTATCATATGTATTAGTATTTGCTCACGCCAAAAATTATATAATGTATCATGCTTTACTGTGAAGTATTAGGACAATGCTTTGTTTATATTGAAATTCTAGACTTCCACATACAATTTTTAACTAAACATGATACATTATTGCCCAAGTACAAAAAAAGGCATAAACAAACACTAAATACAATATTTGACACAAGAAGCAATCCTCCTTTCATCAAAATACAAGGGAAATAACTCTAAAACAAATATAAATATGCCCAACTTGCCATTAGATCTACTTGGCATAAAAGAAACAACAAGAGCGATCAGTGATCACATGTGTCGCCTCATAATGGCCAATTTCATGTTGGGACAAGTTTTGTGACAGACAGACGGACAGTGCACAACTAGACTTGGTACTGATCATTCCTGTAAAGTTTGGATAAAATTGCACCAGTAGTTTATGAGGAGTAGTCCGGACAAGCTTTTGTGTATCTGGCAACACACAGAAAAAGCGCCTTTTTATCAAAGGGCCATAACTCAGCCAAAAATCATTCAACTGGAAAACCCGTGCAATATGCGCAAGGACTTGAGCTACAGATCAATCCTGTAAAGTTTCATTGAAATTGCATTAGTGGTATAAGAGAAGTGGTCCGGACAAACTTTAAAAATAAAAATTATTGAAGGGCCATAACTCTGACAAAAATCATTGAACCGGAAAATGCTGACAATATGCACAACTACACTTAGTACAGATCATTCCTGTAAAAGTTTGGATGAAATTGCACCAGTAGTTTATGAGGAGTAGTCTGGACAAGCTTTTGTGTATCTTGCAACACAATGAAAAAAGCACCTTTTTATCAAAGGGCCATAACTCGGCCAAAAATCATTCAACCGGAAAACCCGTGCAATATGCGCAAGGAGCTACAAATCAATCCTGTAAAGTTTCATTGAAATTGCACTAGTGGTATAAGAGAAGTAGTCCGGACAAACTTTTAAAAATAAAAATTATTAAAGGGCCATAACTCTGACAAAAATCATTGAACCGGAAAAAAGCTGACATTATGCACAACTAGACTTGGTACTGATCATTCCTGTAAAGTTTGGATGAAATTGCACCAGTAGTTTATGAGGAGTAGTCCGGACAAGTTTTGTGACGGACGGACAGACAGACGGACGACTGAGAAGTGATCCCTATATGTCGCCACTACGAGTAGTGGCGACACAACACAGACAGATGACGGAGAAGTGACCTCTTCTCCGTAGAGGCGACACAAAAATGCATCATTACCTGCTTAGAATAACCTTTGTCCACCCCCAATGTTATAGTGCATAGTGTGTGCTTTATACAATATTTCTGCATCAGGCATGCTAGATCTATTGTCCATATACTGAAAAATGAAATAGTAATCAGAATGAATGCAAGAAAATTTGCTGATGATGTAACTTAAAAACATATCAATCAAATTCATTCAATAAAATTTTGTTGCCTTCAGTATCAGTTTGCAAGATCTCTATCAATCATGAATTTAAATAAAGACAAACATATAAATGTATTTTAAGACTTTTCAGTAAACACTTGATTGTACTTGGTTCATACAGACTTGTATATCCAGTGCCCTCTGTTCATGATTTTTGTGCCGACTCCCAAAAATATATATTTCCCTCTTTTTTTGGAAAAAAATCCTTAAAAAATTGATTTTTAACTGCCTAAAGCAGTTGAAATTGAAATTTGATTTTTGTAAAATAGAAAATGTATTACTTCTATAAAACATTATGAGTATTTCCATTGACAAATTCCCCTTTTTGTTCAAAACAACACAGAATTTCCCTTCTTGATGGTCCTGGCCCCAGTCCCTTCCCTTTTAGGTTATTAGGGCCCTGATATCATTTATACTTTGTCATACAACTTAGCAAAAATCTTTATAACAAATAATTACATGTACATAAATGATAACAGAATTTTTGGAAATTAAACCACTTTGCTAGGCTATGATTCATACCTCTCACCACATTTCAGCTCCTCCAAGTCAGTTGTGTAGACCTTATGTGCATCTTTGCCAAAGTATCTAAAACAAGTACATTTTGTGATAACAAAATAACTTCCCTTCATTCAAAAAGCTACAAGGAATAGATAAATTTGTGACAACAATTAATAATCTTTCTGCATTAATCAGGAATGACAATAAATTTATGATAAATTTTTTTACAATAAATGATTTAACTTCCTTACATCAGTCGAGTACTGAGGAAAGATAAATTTGTGACGATGAATAAATACATGTATGATGACTTTCCTATATTAATGAAGTAACAATTGGTACATAAATAAACAAGTTAGAGTTGAATTTGTGATGGATGACATTTCTTTGTTTATAAATAGCATTCAATAGTCTTGCCTCATATCCATTTAATAATGCTTACCACAGATTTATTTAATAATGCTTACCACAGACTCATTATGTGTTTTACACTTGTTAATAATGATGCTTAACACAGACTTATTTTAAAAAGCTTATCACAGATTCATTTACAGACTCATTTTACAACGGTTACCCCAGACTTACATTGTAATGCTTACCACAGACTCAATCTATAATGCTTTCCACACTTATTTTATAATGCTTACCAAAGATTTATTTCATAATGTTTACCACAGACTCATTTTACAATGCCTTCCTAAACACAGTGTTGTCTACATGAAATGACAACTTATGTGTTCTACTAAAAAAGGGGGTTTCTCCAAACACCCCAACCCACTTTGCGGGCTTTTTCTCAGTTTTACAAATTTTGCTAGGGCTTTCAGAATTTTCCTAAAAGTTAATTTAATGGCTAAAGTCAAAGGTTTTTTGTGTTTTTAGCATCAATATTTCAAATCAAATTTAAATGTTTGAACACATACTGTAAAACCATTGAGGCACATGCTAGACCACAGTCCCAGCTATAACTCTGCATACACAATGGTACTTTATGCACAACATGCTGACCATTCTCTGATACAGATGTCTTCTCATTAGATGTATTCCTTCTTCCTGTAAGAAATACAAACATTCGTTAACTATAATCTGATAAGTTATATCATTCCTTCCTAACAGTTCATTTACAGTTTTAATGCAAATTCAATTCTTCATTATTGAGAGAAAAATTATTATCTAATAAATTTCATGCAACAACTTTGTTGCTTTAATACGTCATTATTTTCCACAGACAATGGGGGCAAGGGGCTAGACTCTGAATCCACTTTCCTAAACACTTTCTGATGGTCAGTAACTTGTAACATTATTTAATAAAGAGATGACAAGGGCTTAGGAATGTGGGGTCAGGGTCTTTGGTATCTTAATGCCATTTAAGAGTTTCTTTTTATTTTCATGCAACAATAAAGATATCATTTAGTAACAATAGATTGTCATTTATGATTAAGACCGTAGCAGAATAATATAAGCATTATAATGTTTATGGTCCACTTGGTTATCTACTGTATGGTATTCATGAAGATTTCATAGACATAACTGGTTTGAGCACAGCTGACTGAAGCTGTGAAGGCAAGTATCATTATGTTGGTTTTGTCAAGACGTGGCTCATATATAGATCTATATAAAAAAAACTACATGTATATGCTGTTTTGAAAAAAATTCATATTTCAACGTCTGTAATAATATTATCGATGTTAAAGTATCAAAAAATTTTCAAAACTGCTCATATATTTAGCCCAAATATTTAGAGGTAACCGCGGATTTAAAGCTATTTTTTTTACATCCATGGGTTAAATCCGCTTTAACATTTTCAGATAAACGTCAAACTGTAAAAAAAAGAAAATGCGATGTCTTTCAATGAAGGACTAGCTTATATTAAGTTATTTTGATAAATATGATTAGTACATGTGCTGGGAATGACAAATTTACATTTTATTGGATTTTAAAGGCGTTTTGAGGTCCACACCCCAAGTGTGTGGTAATATCACGTTTTTTGTATATAAATGAGTAATTGTTTATGATACTATTTAAACCACCAAATAACGTCTGAAATATGAGCAAGTCAAGTTTAGAATAATTCAGTCAGAATAAACATAGATCTAATATAAACTGATAAAAATTTACACACAGCATATCCGAAACTGTCCGAAAATAATACCACTTTGCTACCTTTCCCTTTACAAAATAAAAAACACATTTGTTGGTGTGAAAGATAATAAACAATGAAGCGACACTTTACCTGCCATCTCCATCACTTATAGTCATTGTAATGTACAATGTAATTATTATTCCTGTAAATTCGTCATAAATTCTGACCCAAATAATATTCAACTTTTAATCAAGGTTGTATACCACTAAAACTACGTGTAACTAGGTGTCACGGTACTAAAATAGTGAGTGTCACTAGAGATACTGGTTTCCTTGTAGCTGTATATTTTTAACAGTATAGGCCCTTTGCATGTTATTGTTATGAAATCTATTAATAGTAACAAATTGCTGATAAGAGATACAGGTAACTTTCGGATGGTTGGCAAAAAAATGGTGGCTGATAAAATGCAAAATATAGTAATTTTATATTTATAATAAAAAACTTATTTTTCATGAAACAGCTTAGTATTTTATATCATTAGAAAGGTCATTTTACTCATATTTTTTATATTAAAAAAATAAATTAACAAAGCGTTTTCATTTTTTCTTGGTAAGGAGTTAAACTTGGTGCTAGAAAACTATTGAAATAACAGTTGAAAAATAGCTGAGCTTTATTTTTTAAAAGCAAAAAATGAAAATCCGCTTATATTTTAAAAATATGAATACAAAGAACTTTCAAATGATATAAGAATCTAAAATATCGATCCACAAATAAAAAAGTTATAAGAATTTGAAAATTCTGCTGCTATATAATGTTTATAAATATTGGTTCTTCTTGCCAACCGGTAAATCTGCTAAATTCTGGTAGCAGGTGCTTGTGATGTCATTGTGCAATGGGTCTATAGCATCTATGTTACTTCATCCAACCAGAGAGACATTTGTTTTCTATGTAACGCAACAGTAATTTAATAGCACAACGATATATATGTTTTGAAGTTTTCTTGTTTTTTAAAAGTTACCTTAGAGAACTTACTCTAAAATCAATACATAAAATTTGTACAATATATTTGCAGACGACAAGGAAAAGGTTGAGAAAGTCTACTTCTTCGATAAAATCATCTTTATTTCTTTCTGGTACTTCAGTGACAGACACGTCACTTTGTTCTGTCAAAGTTTTGTACTAGTCCGTAGACAAATTTTTTATTTCATTTGTTAATAGCACTTGCGATTTGGGCCCGAAACTGCCAGGAAACCATGGCCATGCAGTACCTTTATGCTCTGCTTAATTTCGCGCTCAATTAAGTAGAATAAACAAGGTGTTACACAGTAAAAGATAAGAAAAATAATATATTTGAAGTTTGCAAATATAGGCCTGTTAGATCACCACAGAAAACGGAAGTTTAAAAAAAAAATCAAGAAAAACTATGAAAGGGCGACTTTTTTCTTGAAACAATTTCTTTTTTTTTCTTGTGTTATCTCTTCGGAGAAAGGAGTGACTTTTTTATACTTCACAAAAGCAGCTGTCAGATGCCGCGTGGCAAAATTTTGCCCCGTACAACATTTCACTGTTGTTTTATTTTTCTTGTCCTTCGTGTTCATTGATTCCAACACGGTGGTGGTGGCGTTGGTAGTTTTCACTCCGGATCACGGCAGTTAGCCACATTGAATATACCAAAGCATATACAATGTAGTTCAGCCATATATGACACAAAAAAAGAATTGTGTTTTTAGGACATCCACCGCATCGTTTCTGGGCAGGCCGTATTAGTTGCCTTCACTTTCGCATAACTTCTGTACATGCCAGAGCAAAGGTACAGTACTAGTGCGAATGACCGTAGAAAAAGTTTTAATGATCAATCACAACGAAAATGATCTGCATCAGCACATTAGGTGTTGTGGACTAGATTACCTAAATACCGCTTACGCCGGTGCTAGGCGGCATGAGGAAGTTGCATTATCCCATTATCTCCTATCAAACCGAGCCTGCATTTGTCGTGAAATTTTGTTGTTATAAATGCTTCAGAGGGATCACCCACTTTGTCTGACGAGTGGTTTACAGAGTAAATATAAGAGGGTTACAAATGACGTCATCCAAGGGCGACTTAAATGATAGGGTCGATCTATATTCAGGAGAATTATTGTCAAAAATAATGATAAATCTTATCAATCGTAAATAAATAACTAAATTATGACATTTTTGCTAACTTTAATAATTCGACCTTGACGGTCAGTGTTATTTAAAGTTATTTGAATAATTTAACATGTGACATTTTTCAACATAGGAAAAAAAGACGTGCATAATCTCCACACTGCCTTCCATCCATATTTGAAATTTCATGAAAATAGTTTCATACTTTTTAAGTTTTCTCGTGATCCAGTTTTTTTGCGGATTGTCGGACAGACGGATGGAGCACACCCATATAGAGCACTTATATAATAAGTAATATAAAGAGAAGAAAAGCAGATCTTATTAGCTATACATTTATAGAAGGAGAAGAAGCATATCTTAAACTAAATCTAAAACTTTCTAAAAAACTTTATTGCTTCATACTGGCCGGGATATAGTGGACCAGTATAAGAACAAAAATGAAATCATTTAAGTGTAATTCTAGTATAAAACCTAGCTATATCATTCGATAAAATACACTGTAAACTGTGTCATGTGCGATTATTAGTTCTGTCACTAACCCACAGAAAGTCACTTCATATGAAAAAACCTGAAAATTTGAAAAATCCTCGTCGGTGATTGGCTTAAATTTTTTTTCGAGCACTAAGACTTATAGCGGCATGTCTTGGTACCCAAAAATACATTTACATGTATGTCACACATTATGAAAACATAAATGTAATGTGTACGAGAGTTTTCACCATGCAGCATCACAATCATTTGAATGTGTGCACGTAAGCACGTACATTAATTGATTAAAGTATCTCCACAAAGGTCCAAAAAGCCTATAAACATGAGCTTTAAACTTCTTACATTGATCAAATGGGGCACTTAAAACAGAAAGATTTGCAAAAGATATAAAAAAAAACATACTCGGCATAAATTGAAAATCTCATTTTTGAGCTATTTTAGTCCGTTTTGACTGGAAAAGCGTGCCATTTAGCATGTTCTCCGGAAGATCGTCTCCGTACTGTAAGTTAAGAACGATTTTACTGAACTCTAAAATTTCAATATCATTATTAATGGTATGTTAAATACATTTAAATAGATTCATGTTAACGTTTTATCAAAACATATCAAAGTATATGTAATGATACAAAAGAATATCTTACATGTTTACGTTTCCGATTTCAATGATCGCCATAAAATCACTTAATATTTAATAGGATTATAAAGGAAAAAAGATACGCCCTTCTGTGTTATGATACCCGGGTATTACAGAAAACCCTTTGACAGTGTTATGTAATTAAATACATCGCATTGAAAAAAAAAGGAATAAAGAGTGTTTATGAAAATGTTGTACATCGTTTTGGAGACTTAAATTATAATGAGGGATGAGATTCCGCGATTTTTTTCTTCAGAAATTTGCAAAAACAGCTGCAAACAAGTCGGACCATCAGATCAACAGATTAAATCCTATTTTATTAGCACAATTATTTAAACATGCTTAATTATTTAAAGTTTAGCTTTTTTACGTTGACAGTAGCTGTAGTACATCAAGTTTGTGCATGTTAGGCCTGTCATAAAAATAACTGTCTATTATATCTTTTCCGTAAAATATTGTATTCCTCACGTATGAGAATATATAATGGTATTCGTCTTCAATGTATCTAGCTAAACAGTTTTCACACATGAAAATGTATACATTGAGTCCCAGTATAGTAGATGGTACTATATAACGTACATGAATTCATTCTTAGTTACATTTCATTATCATAATTTTTTTTCTGCCAGGAACAAGAAAAAAACACTTATACTTTACACAAGCTAGATTATATATTTCTACTCTTCCCTTAGAATGCAGTTTATTTATGTCACAGTGAAAACAACACATTGTATGTAAGTACTGGACATATGTCGCACGGTCAGAAAAATGTGCTGCCTTAGCTGACTCGAATCCGGTAGCCTCGGAATACCAAGCTATACAGTCTCTTACACATCTTCTCTCCTAATAAGTGAATGGACACGAATCGTGACACATATTTGAAAGCTTTCCGATGCCAGACGATTTATTAAAAAGAAAACTTAATGTACATGTGAAAAGGCTCTCCAAGCAAATCTAGACAAATTTATATTATTATAGGAGCCGCGTCATGACAAGGCCAACATAATGGGTTTGCGACCTGCATGGATCCAGACCAGCCTGCGCATCCGCGCCGTCTGATCAGGATCCATGCTGTTCGCTTACAAACCCTATCACAAGTAGAGAAACTGATAGCGAACAGCATGGATCCTGATCAGACTGCGCGGATGCGCAGGCTGGTCTGGATCCATGCTGGTCGCAAACCCATTATGTTGGTCTTGTCATGACGCGGCTCATAGTGTTGTTATACGTATATATAATTTAGTTGTTTTTCGTCTGAGCTGAACTTTATTCTAAACATTTCATCGTATCTCAAAATTGTAGCGATGTAATAACTGCATACTATTAACACTTTGTTGATTACCTCGTGTTTTGTTATCAGTCTTTTATTTTCTTCATTTCTTTCCAAGATAAGCGATGGTCTAGTTGTAAAGGTGCCAGTACTAGTCCTTGAGCCCTCGGACCATATCAGTTTAATTACGTCTTATACTCGGGGCCTTTCTTGATACAAGAACTGGTTTGTTCCAGGAGGCCTTGGGCTCGAAAGTGATTATATATTTATATACAACTTTACAATCAAAGCTTAAATTGAAATATACTTATTTACTTACAATTGCTTATTATATAATTAAATTGAATTTTATAATATGTTTAGGCATAATCACCGTGGGTAAGCAACTTTGGTCATGTGACCACAAAAGTCAACGTACACGGCCAAAATAGCTCGGCTGAGGTAAGTTTTTTAATGATTATTTTTCTGTCCAGCCGATTTAAATTATGCTACATAGACTACCGACCGCGGCAGTTCCGATGCTTTCTAAAAATGTATTTGATGTCATCCAACGTTTTGTATTTTATGAGATAATTCAGACATTGTTTGAAAATTGTCGATGACAACGTACACACTTGGGTGTAAAAGTGTTGATAATAACTTAATAAACGATACGCATGTCAGTGCTAAGTAAAAATTCAGGCCTTAAAATATATAAGAGAGTGTTTTAATGAAAAAAGAACTGGT